CGTCTCAACTACATATCCATCCTTCTCTGCCTTGCTTTATTATTCTAGAACTGGTTGCGGTAGACATTCTGCTTTGACAACTGACAAAATATTAGGCTTTGCCAATAGAGGGCGATGGAAAGACACTGTGAGTCTACAGCAAGAGGAAAAGGACTTTCCTTTCTGTACTGTTTTTCACATGGACAGGTGGATTGGTTCGCAGGTGGCTAATTACGTTCACTTCAGCAGGGCTCATGGTTCACTTGTGGTCCATACGGGTGGTTTGTACATTCCTATGGCAGCTATACCTCTCTAAATCTCTAAGGTCCTCCTTGCTGCTCACTCTTCCTTAGCCAAGGTTAGAAGCTATTCCCACAGTTGCTACGGTATCCCTTAGAGTCCACTCTACCCTTTTTAGTTAGACACCTTTTACTGGGTAACAATCTTTATATTAATTTTTTCTTGTACCTAGTAGATATACCATGGAATAAGGGAAAAAGGCTATTTCTGCTGTAATCACAGCCCAAAGACCAAAGAGCTTCAGAGACGTAGATCTGTAGAAATTTGCTTGAGTTCTATTCCACTGCATATAACTGAAGACAGACAGTAGGCAGTTAAGAGCTGCTGTAGCTATTAGAAATTAAGAACGTGGGCTCATTTTAAGTTTCCAGCTTCCCCATCCCTAATGTGTGGCTTCTGTGCTCATGGCTGCAAGATTGTTGCTTCACCTCAAGACACTAGGTCCATATTCCAGGCAGGAAAAAGAAAGAGAAAATGGAAAAAAAGAAAAGAAATGATCCCCTTTCTAAGCATTCTATACAGCAATACAAAGTCAGCTATAACTGACCATTCCTAACTAACTATAAGGAAATCTAGGAAATTCAATTTGTGGGTTTTGTTTTTTGTTTTGTTTGTTTGTTTTTTACTGTGAACAGGCTTCTGTAAGTAAGAAAAAAGAGAGAGAATGGATGTTGGATAGGCAACTAACTGTGTCTGCCATGAATTTATTGAAAAAAATAGTAAATTATTTTTGAGATGGGCAAGAGTCAGCAGAGGGCCTTGATCTCATACTCATATACTTAATCATTTTCTTTTTATATAAATAGTCTTTCTATATTAATTATTGATCATGACATAACGTTTTTCTCAATAACTAGCATATCTTACCAGAAAAAGGATGGAATAATATTTGTTTTATTAGTATATAGTCTTCATAGGACTCTTTAATATAACATTTATCCTTAAATCCTCTGGCCCTCTGAGAGGACATGAATAGATACATTTACTTTTAATTCCATGATGAATTATTTGGAATTCATTTGGTAAATATTTTATTCCAGTATATTAGATGGCATGAAAGTAGCTAAGTAACCTATAGAGGAGTCAATAAATGAAGTTTAAGGATGAAAATGTTGGCACCAGAAAGTGATTCATAGCCTAAGCAGTTAGTAGATTTGGGAGTTTGGGTTTTAAGAGATCCCAAGAAATCTTTCCTAAACAAATCATCCCATCTCTTTCATCCTAGTTCAACAATGAAGTATTTTCTGAATGAGCTAACCTTTTTTTCTGGAAATATTCCCCTTATTATATACCATACAACTTAATCCTGGGACATTTACTGATTTGTATTTTTCTCAAAAATTTTTATATACCTTAGTCCAATTTTTCTTATACCCCAATTATATTGTAAACTGTTACATCTTCCTGTATACTCTCTATGTTCAGAGAGAGGACATACTATTATGTGGAACTCACTTTTATTTAATGATCCTATAGAATTAGTGCAGATGTAGAGGCTTTTTTAAAAAAGATAAATTAATAACAAATGAAGGCTAGTAATAAGAAGTAAAAACTTTTATAGCCGAAATCGGCTTGGCTCAGTGGATAGAGCGCTGGCCTGCGGACTGAAGGTCCCAGGTTTAATTCCGGTCAGGGGCATGTGCCTTGGTTGCGGGCATGTCCCCGGTGAGGGGTGTGCAGGAGGCAGCTGATCGATGATTCTCTCTCGATGTTTCTAACTCTATCCCCCTCTTCCTCTCTGTAAAAAAATTAATAAAATATATTGTTTAAAAACCTTTTATAAGAAAAGCAAAACATTATAACAGAACTCAGACTATTTTTAACTTCTAGTTTTCATTTCCACAAATAGTATTTTTTATCTTTAATAAAAAATAAAAACTTTTATTAAAAAATATTACAACAGAGCCCAGAATATTTTTTATTTACTTTTCTGATTTTCAATTCCACAAATAGCATTTTTTTTTTATTACACTAGCATGACAAGACTGGTGAAAACTTATAGGGTATTAAAATTAAAACTTTCAAAAGTAGATAATTTAAACATCTTTCCACATGTTTGGGTTAGAATTACAAGAGTTTTAACACTAACAACCCTACTACATCCCCATACCTCAAAGAAAGGTGACTCAATCACAGACACATGTGCTTCTCTCTGTCTGGTTTGCTATGAGCTATCCCTGGAATTCTGCACTGAAAATCCCCAATATTAAGAAACTGCTATGCTGCTACCTCCACATGGATCTGGTGATCACTACTCCAAATACCTCCACATGGATCTAGTGATCACTACTCCCAATAGGAGTAGTGAATAGTGGGTGGACTTTATCTCCTGTTTCTTATCTGTGGCTGCGTAACAGACGACCATAAAATATTACAGCTCCAACTAACACCCCTTTCATTGTTCTTGATTCTGCAAGTCAGGAATTTGAGCAAGACTAGGGGTCGGAAATTTGGGCAAGGCTCATTTCTGTTCCATGTTGTGTTGACTGGGAAGGCTTCACTAAAGCTAGAGAATCTAAGAGGGCCTCACTCACATATCTGGGCACCTTCATTCTCTCTCATGAAGCTTTTTTCTGTCCAAGTTGTTCCTTAGTATTTAGTAGTCTAACCCATGTTTCTTGATATAGTGGCTGGCTTCCAAGAAAGAGAGCTATGGGACCTCTCCAGGCCTAGTTCAGAGACACAAACTGCCACTTCCAAGACATTCTCTTGGTCAGAACAAGTCACTGGGTCACCCCACATTTAACAAGAGAAACAGACTCCACTGCTTGATGAGTGAGTACAGAGGTGACTGCAGGATAGGAGCTATATGGGAAATGATTTTTCATACTTCTTTTTACCTCCCCATTTCTTTCTTCCCCTATCATCATCACCAGGCTTATCAGATACTACCAAATTATTATGTCTTATAATTTAACATATCTCTACCGTCTAAGAAAAAAAAAATACAGAGAGGATTAAACACTTCACAAATGTTCTCTATTCATCTTTATGGTCTCACTGTACTCCTCTCAGAAAGTGCCTTTTTTCTTCAAATTTCCCTAGTGCAGTTATATTCCTCCTGTCAACATGGGTTGGTATCAGTCAAGATCCACTCCCCTCCTTCTATCAGTGTAAGTCTGAGGATGCAAAACTGAGCAAAGTCCAAGTAAATTGCTTTAGAAAGCATCTTGGAGATATGGCCATGGTCCAGACTGCCCTTTAGAACCCTTATTCTCTAGCCTCCAGCTTGTGTGAGGTGGCTATGCTTCCTCATTATTTAAAATCTTTCTTCCTCCAGAAAATAATTATGGGGTGGGTCCTTTCTCTCTGTGTGTGTTATATACACACATCATGTTCAAAGATACAACATCTGTTCTTTGAACACCTATTGTTCTTCATAAATACTTAAACTCTAAAGGATAGAACTCACCAAGCACCTACTCTCTCCTCTTGTAGGCCAGGTCATCTGCTTATTGACATGCTGACAGTACAGGGCCTGAACTTAGACTTCACCTCTTCCAGCCACAGGCCTCTGTGGTGCCTGCTGAGGTGATCCTGTTAGGAATCCTGGCTTGTCTTGTACATACCACTCCCCCTCAATAGTTCCTGTTACTGGTTTATAGCTGAACAGATAGGAGCTTCCCTTACTCCATCTCCATATACAAGTCCATTTAGAATAATTTTTCCTTTAAGAGGATCTATTATTGAAGTATAAAACATGTGATGGCTAATTTTATGTATCAGTCTGGGGTGCCGAGATTAAACACGATTTCTGGGTGTGTCTGTGAAGGTGTTTCTGGATTAACATTTGAATCAGTTGCCTCGGTAAAGTAGAAGTTTGGTACATTTCTGGAACTTTTCTGTGTTCATCTGAAGAAAAATTATTTGTCCAATGTTAGCAAAAACCAGTTGTTAAAGTTGGATAGGTTTTAAAAACATTCAGTCTTTCCTTTAGTCTCAGACCCTACATGAAATACATTATATCACTGAATTCTCCTGATCATAGAGCTAGAAGAAAAAGTTGACCTCTCTCACTTTACCAAGAGGCAACTTTGTGCACAAATTCACCAAACTCTTCAATGTACTCATTTGCTCATTCCTTTGTCCCAGTACTTCTAGGTGGGGTCCTCGTTCATCCAAAGGATTAAGCAAACCGCTGGAATCGTTTTCCAGATTCCTTTGAAGAAATGTATCCACTTTGCTGGGGACCCTTATTTGTCCTGTCTTTCACACACACACACACACACACACACACACACACACACACCGTGTCACACACACACCTTGTGTCACACACACACACACACACCGTGTCACACACACACACACACACACACACACACCGTGTCACACACACACCTTGTGTCACACACACACACACACCGTGTCACACACACACACACACACACACACACACACCCACACACATACACACACATACACACATACACACACATACACACACATACACACACACACACACCGTCACACACACACAGTTCTATTTCATAGAGAAAAATGACCAGGAAGGGGACCTGAGCAACTGATAAAAGGCCAAATGTCTCAGGTGTCAACCGAAAGAAAAGTAGCTCAGATCAAAACCCGTTCATTTTTCTCTGCCGGGCTAGCTTTCAACCTCTTTTTCCTTCCCTTTACCAGCCCCAGTCCACCCGCCCATCATCGGGTGGCTGTCCGTGTCCTTCCCAACTGGTTAGCAATAAAGTTGTTACAAAGTGACCTTGAGCGTCTTCCCCGCTGCGCCCGATTCCCCGCCTTCTCCATCCGGGTGCCGCGGCGCGGATAAGAACCGCACCGCGCCTGCGCGCCCAGCCCCACTCCTTCGACCTCTGCCGCCGCCGCCGCCGCCTCCTGGAAGGTAAGCCGAGGGCGCGGAGCCGGCCCGGCCGCGGGAGCGGCGTCCACGGGGACCCATTCATTCGGCTGGCGTGTCGCTGGGCGCGGGGCCCAGGCCGCCGGCGCGCACGGGAGCCTGGCAGGACCTGGCGGGGAGGACGGGCCCTTGGGGGGCGCTTGACCTTAAGCCTCCTTTCCTCCGCAGAAAGCGGGAGAGGAGCCCACGTCGCCTGCCACCGAGTCTCCAGCCGCGCCGCCCCAGGAGTGTAAGATGTTCGCCTGCGCCAAGCTCGCCTGCAGCCCCGCTCTGGTGCGTAGCCCCGCGGGGCCCAGGGCTCGGCGCCCGGCCTGTGGGCCTGGAGCGTCCACGTTGAATGGGCCACGTCCCGGCGGCGCACACCGCCCTCTCTCTCGGGACAGCTCGCCCCTCACTCCCAACCCTGTCATTTCCCCCCCTTTCCCTCTAGTCCTGGCGCGCCTCGCTCGCCTCACGAGGGCGATGGAGGGCGGCCGAGGCCTAGCTAGCTGTCAGGCGCCCAGCGGTGTAGGTCAAGCCCTCCGGCGTCCATGCCCGGAGCGCCCCCTCCCCCACCCGGGTCGCGCTGTGCGCCGGGGTGGGCGCCGAGGCCCGGGGGCCGTGAGGACGGGGGAGGCCGCCGAGGCCTAGCTCTGCGAGCAGCGCTCTCCAACGCCTGCCTGTAGGTCAAACTCGCTGCTGCAGAGGGAGGGACTTTGCCTCGCCCTGTGTGGGTGGAGGAAGGTGGCGGAGCAGCGGAGCCTCTTCCTGCCTAGAATGTGATTTCCAAAACCATTTTGGAGGCTTTAGGGGAAGTGAAGACCTGGGGGATTTGTCTTACAGAATCCGATCTTGGTTCTGAAGGGATTTTCTGTGACCTTAGTTTAGTGGACACTCAAGGGCAGGCAGAGCAGCTGGACTGGAATATGTCCTTATGGTCAGAGTATTGCACTGATTATTCTTACTCTGATACGGAATTGCTTAAACTGCTTTTTAATTTTATGATTAACTGGCATATTGAAATATCTTGGAAATGGTGGGAGCTCATATTTAACTAAGGTGCTGTTTTAAATAAGAAGCTTTTAGAGTGACACTCCTAATATGCTCATTTGTTGGTCCTCTTAAACGTAACAAAAAATGTGTGGTGTTTATTGTCGTTTTTCTGATCTGAATTGTGACACCACAATAATTAAAATTTTAAAAGCAATATATATATTTTAAACTAATTGTTCTTAGTTTTGTTTGGTATATTACAAATAGCTTATGAAGCAAGCTTTAAAATTTCATTAGCAACTTTAAAACTATTAAAATTGCTTCATCTATTGAAAACGACCAAACTGCCAAGATAAGTGTCAGTACAGCAGCCATGAACTTGGACTCATTTTTCTTCTTGCTTTGTTAGAACTCATGGTGCAAGAAAGGTCATTGAAATCTTATCTGTATCCTTACTTATTATGTGAATTTTCTTTCATTAATAGATCCGAGCTGGATCCAGAGTTGCATACAGACCAATTTCTGCATCAGTGTTATCTCGACCAGAGGCTAGGAATGGAGAGGTAATAGTAATAATAACAGAAATTAAGTGACACTCCTAAGTAAGTCTTATGGTTATGACTAAAGTGAAGGGGGTGGGGAAACAACCTCATTAATGAATGGTTTGAAGGCAATCCTTTCCATCTGATAATAAAATGTGCAGAAGATAAGCCAATAAAATAAACTTCGGTTTCCAAAACTTATTCACCTGATTTGACTAAGCAATATAGCCTGTAGGTATATTTAAGTGCATAGGTTTGAGTTGTCTATAGTTTAAAGATTATAATAGCTGCAGTTATTGAAAAGCCTACTCTATTAAAAAGCATATGCACATATTTTGTTTCTTAATTTTCAGCTTTCTAGGGTATAGCTAGTGCTATTCTTATTGTGCCAGATTGGATTTATTTTAAGCCCTTGATTTTTCTATTGTGCCACATCACCTCCTATTCAAAATTGGCTACAAAAGAGAGAACTAGTTATCATTTTGACAGTATGGTAATTGAAATAGCTAACTGTGATAACTGATTTGACCTTTGCCTTTATTTCCTGTTCTCTAGGGCTCTACAGTATTTAATGGGGCCCAGAATGGAGTGCCTCAGCTAATCCAAAGGGAGTTTCAGACCAGTGCAATCAGCAGAGACATTGATACTGCTGCCAAATTTATTGGTGCAGGTGCTGCAACAGTAGGAGTGGCTGGTTCTGGTGCTGGTATTGGAACAGTCTTTGGCAGCCTTATCATTGGTTATGCCAGGTAATTTCAATAGCCAAATAAGAAATAATAATAGCTAATTTCTATAAAGTGCCCACTCTGTGTTTTGCATTAGATTTTGAGGGCTTTGCACACATTATGTCACTTAACTCCCCATTTGTCATAGCTAGTGTCAAAATAAATTTTAACTCGGTTTGACTTCAGAATCTACACTCTTTTGTTAAACTATACTGGGAATACAATAGTATGTTCTTTAAGAGTCCATTCCATTTTATTATGTAAGACCTTATTTCTAAATTCAGATCTTAAAAGGTTTAGAACATACTTTCATAAGAATGGTTAGTCTTCACCCAAAATGGATGAAGACTAATGGTTTATATTAACATACAGAGTCAGCTCTCCCCCTTTTCTTCATATGATTAGGATTGAGGAGGAAGGGATGTCAAAGGCAAAGCAAAAGAGATCTAGACAAATACTCTTCCAGTATTTCCAGTTTACAGAGATCTCCACACTAGTAATCTGATTATTTAACATTGGAATTCAAATAATATTTCAAAGTAATAATGTGTTGTGTGTCTTTTTTAGAAACCCTTCGCTGAAGCAGCAGCTGTTCTCATATGCTATCCTGGGATTTGCCTTATCTGAAGCTATGGGTCTCTTTTGTTTGATGGTTGCTTTCTTGATTTTGTTTGCCATGTAACAGAAATTACTGCTCGAAATGTTGGCATTCATATTAATTACGGATGTAATTCTGTGTACCTTACTGTGACTCCGAGCACTGTAGTATTGGTGTCATGAAAATAGACATTATTTCCAAAGTCATTTCATTAAAGATGAAAACTTTAATTTTTGCTGTGATTTGTACTTCCCCTACAGTTAGATCATCACAAAGAAGGACATGCATTCAGTCAAATGCTGTACAAGTCAGAGGGAACTACAGCCATTGCCTCACTGATGAAAAAGACCCTAATGTAATTTTTATGGGAATTATTTTATATAGTGTCTGAACATTGTAAATTATAGGGTTTTTGATTATTCATTAAAGCAGAAATATTTGAATGCTTTGAGCTTCTATGAAATATGATTAATGAAACCAAGATAGTGAATTGCTCAAGATGGTTTTGAGTTTTTAAGGGCTAATGATTTCAATACTTGGAAGCAGGATCACCTTCCAAGAGTAACTTTGCTGGTTTTACACAGCTGAGTCTGAAAATCATGTCAGCTTTTTAGGGATAGAAGCCTTGTTAAAGGGGAGTGGAAAGCAATTTTCACTTTTCATTAAGTTATAAGTAATTATGTGTCTATGATGAATCTTATCTATCTACTAAGAAACAGTCTGGCAGCTAGTTTCTTGCCTAAACAAGGCTCTCCCTAACCAAATATCAAAAACTAAACTGAATTGGCTACATTTTAAAGCCAAACGTTGCTAAAGCACTGCTTATCATTGATACTAACTTGTTTATAGTAGGAGTCTTAGAAATAAAGAGTTGCCTCAATAGTATTTTGCTTATAATAGTACATATTAGTTCTTGGTCAAATTTTTCCTATTAAAAGGAAGAAAGTAGTGCTACTATAGAAAGGCTGAGTTTTCCCCTATCCTAGTTTCAGGGTTTTCAATAAAGGTTAGGATGACAGTTACTATTAGGTCTAGTAATAATTAATGTCGTTTTCTAATACTTTTTTAAATCGAATTTATTTAAACAATACAACAAAATTTAATCAACAATATAGTTACCGTTGTTTTCTACTACTTGTGCCCAACGCTCAGGAAGCATTTTAATCTCTCTGTTGTAAAATTCTTGTGATTTTGATGCAAAAAATTCGGTCAATGCATTTTTGAGGCATTCTTCATTATTAAATTTTTTTTCCAAGAAGACAGTTTTGCAAAGAACGAAACAAATGGTAATCGGAAGGGGCAATATCAGGAGAATATGCAGGTTGAGGGAGAACTTCCCATTCCAACTGGCGCAGTTTTTCAGCAGTGATTCTTGCAGTATGCGGTCGTGCGTTATTGTGGTGAAGAATTACGCTCTTCCGATTAATCAGCGCGGGTTCTTTTTCTCTTAAAGCTTGGGCTAACCTTTCCAATTGGGCACTATACACTGCACTTGTAATGGTTTGGTTAGATGGTAAAAGTTCATAATGAAGAATTCCTGTAAAATTCCACCAAACACACAACGTCACTTTTTTCGCATGCAAGTCAGGTTTTGGTGTGGTCTGCGGAGCCTCATTTTTGTCCAACCATTGAGGCCGCCTTTTCAAATTAACATACAGCACCCATTCTTCATCTCCGGTAACAATTTGCTCTAAAAACAGCAAATGGTTTTGACGAGAGAGGAGCGAACTGCAAATTGTGACTCTTTGATTACGGTTGTTGTCGGTCAACTCATGAGGAACCCATTTTCCAAACTTTTGGACTTTGCCAAGTGCACGCAATTGATTGGAAATTGTTTTCTGTGAACAATTTAAAGTTGTCGCAAGCTCTTGTTGGGTAATTTGAGGATTTTGCACCAAAAGAGCTTGAAGAGCTTCTTGATCAAAATTGGACACACGGCCTCGACCACTCTTGTCATCTAACGAAAAATTTCCCTCGCGAAATTTCTCAAACCAACGCTGGCATTTTCTGGCGCTAACTGCATCTTGACCAAGAGCACTACAGATGTTTTTTGCAGCCTCACTTGCTTTTCTTCCTAATTGGAACTCGTAAAGCATGCAGTGCCGAATATGCTCTTCATCCGCCATCTTCTTAGCCCTAGTTTTGCAACAAAAACCAAACCAAACACAAACTTTTTCAAGCAAAACTTGTTACCGTATTTTTCGGACCATAAGACGCTCCGGACCATAAGATGCACCAGTTTTTAGAGAAGGGAAATGAAGAAAAAAAAGATTCTGAAACAAATAGTGTCCTAAAATATTTTATGTGCATTAAAACCCAACTTCACAGTCATAAACACATGTAATCAACCCTGTAAAGTAAACAGCAGCATTTAGAACTATTTTAGAGCCGGGCAAGCACACAGACCACACAGAGCCAGGCAAGTAAAAAAACTTGTTTTAAAAAGTATATGTGTAGGCTATATTTGGACCATAAGACGCAGGGACTTTTTCCCCCCCCCCAAAAAAGTGCGTCTTATGGTCCGAAAAATATGGTAATATTTTAGGTAGTATTACCATACTCCAGGTCAGGGGTCCTCAAACTTTTTAAAGTGGGGGCCAGATCACGGTCCCTCAGAGAGCTGGAGGGCCGGACTATATGAACTACTAATTCCTATTGTAACACCTCAGCTGCGCTCACTGCCCAAAAAACCCATAAAAATATGGTAATATTTAGGCACTTCACACGTTCTGTAGATACCACGTGTTTGAAGGTTATGTCAATACAAGTCAACGCCAAGCAAGATTTTAAACGAATGTTTAAAAACGACATTAATTATTACTAGACCCAATAAACCTACTTTTTATTCCTTTAATGCCCTCTGCCCAATTTAATTCCAACGGAGTCATCAATTACCAGGGTTTTTCAGAGTGCTGTGGAAAGACCACCTCCAGCAAAATCACCTAGGATGTCTGTTTAAAATACAAATCCTAGATTCTGGACCTACCAAATTGGAATCTTGGGCCATGAGACTCAGCCATCTGCATTTTTTAGGTTTTGTGCACACTTAGAGATTCACTAACTTACATGTACCCTTCCCACTTTCTGTAATGTGCAATGAGTCCACAAAGAGCTAGACCTAGAACTATTACCACTTTTTGGTTAATCATCTAATCTATAACATTCCTGGAGCCTTCACTATTGTTTTAATAGTATTATGCAATATTTGAACCATAATGTAAAAGTTACATGATCCAGCAATTCCACACATTGATAAAAATCCAAAAGATTTGAAAACAAGTGTTCAAACAGAAACTTGTACTCAAATGTTCATTGCAGGCTGCCCCTTACTATTCACAATAGCTAAAAGGTAAAAACAAAACAAACAAAAACCAGTTGTCCATCAACTGATAAGCAAAATGTATATCCATGTAGTAGAATATTGTTCAGCCATAAAAATAAGAATACTGATAAATGCTAATGAACCTTGAAAAGTTGGGTAAGTGAAAAAAGCCAGATACAAAAGGCTGCAACTATATGATTCCATTTATATGAAATAACCCAGAATAGGCAAGTCCATAGAGACAAAGCAGATTACCAGGGAGAGGGGCAATGGGAAGAATAGGAAGTGACTGCTTATGGGTATAGAGGTTACTTTTGGGGTAATAAAAGTATTTTGGAACTACAATAGATAGTGGTGATGGTTACACAATATTGTGAATGTACTAAATGCCGCTGAATTGGTACACTTTAAAGTGGTTAAAATGGCAAATATATTTTACTATAATTAAAGTACTGTAACCATGTAGTATAAATCATACCACATTTTTTTAAACATAGGTGAATAAATTAACTGGTCCTCTGTTCCAAGTTGGTTTAAATAAAATCAACTTGTATTTAAAAACAAGTTCTTCATACTGTTTTGGTGGCTGGCTGAGGAGGCCTGAAACTGATTCTGGGGCGGGTCTCTTGCCAGAGGTGTCCCTCCCCGAGGAAATCTAAAAGTGAAAATATCGGGGCTGTGGTTGCCTAACTTCCATGTTGCTGAGCAAAATAGACTTTAGAAAGTATAAAGTATAAACACAGCCTACTTTATCTAGAAGGAAAAGGAAATATTAAGTGGTCAATATCCTGGAGCAGGCGTCTTCAAACTACGGCCCGCGGGCCACATCCGGCCCGCCAGGTTTTTTGGGCAGTGAGCGCAGCTGAGGTGTTACAATAGGAATTAGTAGTTCATATAGTCCGGCCCTCCAGCTCTCTGAGGGACCGTGATCTGGCCCCCACTTTAAAAAGTTTGAGGACCCCTGACCTGGAGTATCTCTCTCTACTATACTTTCATTTCCAGTAACAAGTTTCTGACATTGAAAAAACCTCACTGGAATACATGGACTCTGACAGCAGAAATGTTTATTGTGCACCATCTTAAAGGAGGTACTGCTTCCCTTAGTTCATGAGCCTTACAAACAAGCTTTTCACCAGCTTCTTAGTTTCTAAACAGAGGCCAGTAAGATTGTTATTTTCACATCAAACAACAAGTGAATTCATATTGATAGGAATTGGGTCTTTTAGTAAGTCCACATTTTCTAGGCATACGTTCTTTTGGTATTGGGTTCTTACCTTTCCAAATTGCAGAAATGTGATATTTTTAATGCTTTTGGAATTAACTCAAAAGCTTGAGTGTGAAATGTATGTTTGAACTAAAGAGAAACTTGTGTAGCCATAAACACTAGGTATGTACGGAAATAACTAAAACTCAGAATGGTGAGTTCCAGAAAAGGAGCAGTAAGTACTAACATGTTCAGAGGTGGCAGAAAGGATTTCCACTGATGGAATCCTGTGAAGAAATGTAAAGCTCAAGGAACTGGTGAGATGAAGACAGGCCAGAAGAGGGTTTCTTGGCTAGTGGTTGCATCAGGAAAGGTATGTGAGAAATAAAGAGCTGCCTGCGTATGGGAGGGAAGCATTGTGACATAAGGCTGCCAAGGTAGACCTGCCAAATTATGTAAACTGGCAGGTATGAGAGAGTGGGTTTCATTCAGGTGACTACAGCCAGCCTTTGAATGTTTAGAGTTGTGTTTTAGAAAGTTAATATAAGACCAGTGTGTGGGATGGACTAGGGCCAGTAACCCTTAGTAGTTGCTATAGTACAGTGATCAGCAAACTGGCTTGCGAGCCACATGCAGTTCTTTGGCCCCTTGAGTGTGGCTCTTCCACAAAATACCATGGCCTGGATGAGACTATTTTGAAGAAGTGGCGTTAAGAAGTTTAAGTTTAAAAAATTTGACTCTCAAAAGAAATTTCAATCATTGTATTGTTGATTTTGGCTTTGTTGACTAATGAGTTTGCCAACCACTCTTCTAGCCACTGAGCCAAACAAGCTAGGGCTAGGCATGCCTCTTTTTATTGAACTTCACTTTATTGCACTTTATAGGTGTTGCATGTTTTACTAAATGAAGGTAAGACCCTCCAC